TTAGGATTAATTGTAATTGATTAGAATTAATTGTGATTATGTTTAGTGAGTCATAGCTGAGTCATTCTTATGATTGTGATTAGGTTTGGTGAGTCATAGCTTAGTCATGCTTAGCTATTTTTCCTTGTATAAATACTCCTCATTCCTCATGTAATTATTCAAATCAATATACTGAAACTCAGCCACCACAACCACCGTCAAACCGGCGGCACAACGCCGGAAAACTCAACCTCCAACCATTATTAAGGTTATTTTCCCTTCCTACAAAGTCCCAAGAGCAAAGTAAGGCTACCAATCACTGTAGAAGGCAAAATCCCAGCTTTCCACCGCCGTCAGCCACCGTCAGCAGCCGTCGGAAAATTTTTCCGGCGACATTTCCGGCCAAGATCCGCACCATTCGAAACAGAAGGAGCCGATCTACAAGTTTCAAGAAGGACCATCAGATTCTGCTGTGCCACGCGCCCCCACGCGCTAGAGAAAGGACGGAGCGTCCGCCCTACGCGTTACCACACGCAGCCATGTTGATTGAAAGTAAATTTCCATCCAGCAATGTTGCTCAACAAGGTATAGCGTTCCATGTTGATAATAGTAGTCGATGGATTCTTGATTCAGGGGCTTCAGATCATATGACAGGTAATGCAACCTTATTTTGTTCTTATACCCCTTACTATCAACAATCACGAATAAGAACAGCAGATGGCAGCTTCTCTACTATTGCTGGAAAAGGATCCATTAAACTTTCTGAACACATTACTTTGAACTCAGTCCTTCATGTTCCCTCTCTTACTTGTAACCTTATCTCTATCAGCAAACTTACGTCTGAGTTACATTGTGTTGCCAAGTTTTCTGTCAATGCTTGTGTTTTCCAGGAACAGGACTCGGGGCTGATGATTGGCAGTGCTAGAGAGGAAGAAGGACTTTATTATTTAGAAAAAGATTCTTGTGAAGGAAAAAATTTTGTGAACCACTCGGTATGTTTGTCTGATGATTGTAATGATGTTTTGTTGTGGCATCGTCGGTTAGGACACCCAAATTTCATTTATCTTCAGAAGTTGTTCCCAAGCTTATTTATCAATAAAAATCCCAGTTCTTTTTCTTGTGATATTTGTCAGCTTGCAAAACATTCTCGTGTGTTTCTTATCCTCCTAGAGTCCATCATGATTCTTCTCCATTTACCTTGATTCATAGTGATATATGGGGTCCAGCCCGTGAAAAAAATATCTCTGGTGCTCGTTGGTTTATAACTTTCATAGATGATCACTCTAGGGTATGTTGGGTATACCTTCTAAAGGATAAGTCTGACGCTGCATCCATTTTTAAAAACTTTCATGCTATGGTTCAAACTCAGTTCCAGACCTCTATCCAAATTCTTCGAACTGACAATGGTACTGAATATTTTAATTCTGTTCTTGGAAACTATCTCAGCCAGCATGGTATTCTTCATCAAAGTTCTTGTCCTAACACCCCTCAACAAAATGGGGTGGCTGAAAGAAAAAATAGACATCTCCTTGAAGTTGCTCGAGCTCTTATGTTTACCATGCATGTCCCTAAATATTTGTGGGGGGAAGCTGTCTTGACTGCAGCATACCTCATCAATCGGATGCCTTCTCGTGTCCTAAATTTTCAATCTCCTTTATCTTGTCTTACCCACACCTTTCCTTCTTTTCGGGCTCATTCTTCCCTTCCTCCCAAGTTGTTTGGCTGTGTGGCTTTTGTACATGTTCCTTCCCATCAAAGGTCCAAGCTCGATCCTAAGTCCATTAAATGTGTCTTCATAGGATATCCTCCTAACCAAAAGGGCTACAAGTGTTACTCATCTTCACTTCGTAAGGTCTTTGTTTCTATGGATGTCACATTTGATGAGAGACAATCTTTTTTTCCTTCGACTTCTCTTCAGGGGGAGTCTATTGGGGTTGATGAAGATAAGTCTTGGAAACCAAATGATTCTGTTGTTTTGCCTTTGCCGTTGGAGACAGGGGGAGTCATTATGAAAAAGACAGGGGGAGTTAATGTGTCAGATAATGGAGATCCTCCCGGGAAATGGGGAAAGTTTTACAGCAGGCGAGAATCACCTCAGGAGCCTCTAGACTGCCAGGATTCTGACTCGAGTCTTAGTTCCAGCAACACTGATACACAACCTAGATGTGCCTATTGCTCTCCGAAAAGGTACTAGATCTTGTACTGCTCATCCTATTTCTCATCATATCACATATGAAAAGTTGTCCCCAGGTTTTCGTGCTTTCAACACTATGTTAGACAGTACAAAAATACCAAAAAATATCCAAGAAGCACTTGATGATCCAAAATGGAGGAATGCAGTCTTTGAAGAAATGGATGCACTCAACAAAAATGGAACTTGGGAGTCTGTAGCATTACCCAGAGGAAAGAAAACAGTAGGTTGCAAGTGGGTGTTCACAATAAAGTTTAATGCAGATAACAACATCAACAAGTATAAGGCCAAAGTTTATATGGATCCACCACCTGGTTTTGAAAAAGGAGACGATTCAGTATGCAAGTTGAAAAAGTCTCTCTATGGTCTTAAACAATCTCCTAGAGAGTGGTTTGAGAAGTTTACTCAAGCTGTTAAGGGAAGAGGATTCCAAATCAGAATTCAAATTCAAATATTTTTCCGTTTTTATTTCCTATTAATTAGGAATAATTAAGATTAATTAGGATTGATTGTTTTTTTATTTCCTATTAATTAGGATTAATTGTAATTGATTAGAATTAATTGTGATTATGTTTAGTGAGTCATAGCTGAGTCATTCTTATGATTGTGATTAGGTTTGGTGAGTCATAGCTTAGTCATGCTTAGCTATTTTTCCTTGTATAAATACTCCTCATTCCTCATGTAATTATTCAAATCAATATACTGAAAACCTTTTTCAATAAACAACAATATACATAAGAGAATAATATTCATATCTCTTTTTTCCTCCTTCTCAACCTAAACCCTATAGGTTAAACACAATGACATGAAGTTGTTATCTTTTGGCAATGTTATTATGTTGAGATGAGTGAGGAGAAGTGGAATGATGAATCATTGCATGAAACTACATAAAATAACTAAATGGGGTAGAAAAATATTCTTTTGCATTATCACTATGCAGAATGCAAATAGTTTACCCAAAAAGTTGGGACCTCCAAAGAAGTTTGTAAAAAATCAATTCAACCCAAAAGCTTAAGCTGATGGGTGAGGGCTTTTTAATGGTTTATATTTTCTCTGACAAAGTTTATCAAAATAGATGTTACTCTTTTGAATGAATAAGTTAGCAATTGAATAAAAGATTTGCATAAATGCTATCCTAAATGATCAAGAGACAAAATCCTTTTATCCAGACTAGCAAACTAAGGAAGAGTCAAGGAGACCCAAAAAAGACTCCAATTCAAAGGATTCTCAATCATTTAAGATTCCTTTTGCTCATGTTCAATCTGTTTTCTTTACCCTTCCTTTCTTTTCAAGTCCTAATATTATAATGTAAGACTACTATTTCAAAAGTTCTAAACAATTACATTTGTAGCAAGACTAGCCTAATTTCTCTATCTTTATGTTGTCATAACTGAAAAAAGTTTGCAAGAGAAAAATAAAAAAAAGAACTTACAGAAATTCAGGGGGGAAAAAGGACGCAACCAACCAATGTCCATTAGTCTCATAATTGTTAAAGCACAAATCACTAGTGCATAAAAAACTATAAATTGGACAAAAAAATGTGCAATAACTAACCATTGAATTATGACGTCCATAGAGGAAGCACATACTAGATCCATTGCCATGCCTCAGGGCCAAAAGCATTTTCCTTGTATACAAGGCAAGAGATGTTGTATGCCTACAAGGCAACAAATTTTGCATGCTTTAAGATATAAAAATTCAAAGAAAATAATGTTGAAAAAAAGTAAAAACAATATAATAATAAATGATATTTAATACTCGTAATTGCATTAAGAAACATTGCTAGACTTTCAGCAGTACAAAGGGATTTGTAAGGAAATCCTCGGTAGTACCATCTATTTATGCATGATTTACAATATCTAATAATAGGAAATTAGGAATTTGCAGTCTCTAATACTAAAAAATTTGCAATATCTAAGATAAGGAAACAAGCAAATTATTGAAAATAATGCAAATCAAATTCTATTTATTTACAGAATAACCATTCCCTAAATAGAAGATATACGAACTTTTTTTCCTAAATTAAAGATAGTCCCTAAATAGAAGATATAGGAAGTATTTTCCTAAATTAAAGATATTTTCCAACATCTGCTAAATACTTCAGCATTTGAGTAACTAAGTTGAATGATTTATTGCATCCATATCAATGCTTTTATTAAATTGGCTTTAAATTCAATCCTCACACATCCACTCTCATAATTAATTAAGTTTTAGAATAATAACAGTGAGTATAGCGAGCATATCAGTGTGTGTGATGTAGAATACAAAGTAACAAAACATAAAATAACTCAAAAAAATAATAATTAAGCAAAAGGTCCTAATGTTGTGGGAAGAGGCGTATTATAGCTCTCTAAATTTACAACAAACTCTACCAAAAACTGACATGGTATCAGAGCCTATTTTCAAATGATCGAGAGTTTGATCCTTGTTGCCCCAATATTATAACAAAAAAGTTAAGTTTTGGCATAAGGTAAACCAAAAAGGGATATGTGCATTATCAACTTCAAAACCCAAAAGATTCTAGCATGAGGGAGCGTGTTAAGAGATACAGTAAATACCATTTTTGATCCTTAGCAAATTTCACGATACCCTATTTAGTCCCCGTGAAAAAAAAGGCATTCGTGGTGCCTGGTTTTTTCAAATTAGGCTCACGTAAGTCCTTCTGTTAGTGGGGCTCCAATGTCGTTATTAACGAATCTCACGTGTAATGTTAAGTTGCTGAGTCACAATGTCACAATCCACCTTGGACAAAAAACGATGTCGTTGAGTGTATCACTTGCATCTCACTCGAGGTTGCTCATTGCTCATGGTAAAGACAATTGAATCTGAAATATATTGTATATTCAAGTGTGTAAGTCTGTACAAGGAGGCTCTCTATTTATAGAGACTAAAAGACCTAATGGGCCAAGCCCACAATCTAGACTATTCTAATAATAATAAATTAATATTATTTCTAACACTCCCCCTCAAGCTGGTGCGTATATATCAAAAGCTCTCAGCTTGTTACAAATATGATCTATTCGGGGACCTCTTAGAGCTTTAGTGAATACATCCGCAAGTTGATCATTGGAATTGACAAATGCTGTCTCGATCTCCCTTGACTGGATCTTTTCTCTAACAAAACGACAGTCAATTTCTATATGCTTGGTCCTCTCATGAAAGACTGGGTTAGAGGATATATGCAAAGCGGCTTGGTTGTCACAAATGAGCTTCATAGGCTTTTGTGAATCCAAAAATTCCTTTGAAATTTGATTCAGATGAAGATCGCGAAAACGATGTGTTGAGCGTAGCTTATACAGAATGGCTAACGCAAGATCAGATGTCGCTAACATGGTTGTTGTCCACCATCTCAGAGCAAGTTGTTAATGATATCCTTCCAATTAAACACTCGTTTGAAGCTTGGGAGAATATTCACAAACTCTTTCACGGTGTTATGAAATCTCAAGCTCGACAACTTAGATCTGAGTTAAAGACGATGAAGAAAGGAACAAAAAGTGCAAAAGAATATCTAGCCATAATCAAAACAATATGTGATTCGTTGAAATCGATTGGAAGTCCTATAACAATAGAAGAACACACAGAGACTATCCTTGAAGGTCTTCCCTCTTAGTACAATCCTTTTGTAAAGATGGTGCATGGTCGAGACAGATCCTACTCCGTTGCTAATCTTGGAATTGAGCTAATGAGTCACGAACAGCTCTCAATCAAACAAAATGAACAGATCTTGGCTGAAGGACCTCAGATAAACCTGACCCAACGTGCTTAGGTCTCGCAGAAAGCTACGTTAATACAACTCACATTCTAGGACAGACAAGTGACTCAATCCACACACAACAATTTCAATGACTACAGAGAGGGTGACACAGATAGCAGTGAAGTTGAAGAGGATCAACCACCACGCGATAGTGAAGTTGTTCATCTTGAACTTTAGTTCCTTCCTTTCATTGCCCACAGAGTATAATGGTTGATATATTTCTTTATTTTATTTTTTTAATTTATATATATATATATAAACACACACACACTTAACTTTCATTTTTATCCTTTTTCAATCTCTTCGTATCTTTCATTTGGGTTCATCTACCACCGACCCTAATTAGTTTGGAATAAAGGTAATATTAATGTTGATGTTGATTTTTTTTAATTTGGGATGATTGAAAATTATATAAAATAAGATTTAAAATGATAAAATAATCAACAGTACCAATTTATTCTAAATAGATGGATCATATTTTTCCACATGGATTTACCATGATCACTTAACAGAAACAAAACCAAAGGATCTATTGAAATGATAGTTAAAGAACTAATCTGAACAACTTTAGAGCTCGTGGTGGTACTTCGCAAAATGTCTCGTTTAGGGTGGCTGAATGTACTTTTCCATATTTTTTACAAGCAAGTGTTTAAAAACAAGTTAAACCATCCATACGATTAACAAGTTTACAAATAGACAACCATTAGAAACTTCAAATGATAGAATGATATTATGACAGTAAAATTCATGTAGGTAAATGGATATTTTATATATTTATCCAATTCTGCATACCATGATATTGCTGGTACAGTAAGAGAATTCAGGATTTTAAAGCCATGGCAGATAGATGCTATGCTCAAGAATGAAACAGTGCCATCCTCAAACAGTTCTTCAATACCTTCTCTTCTTTTAATAAAATCAATGTCAGCAATTGATGCAGCAACCGTTCCTGTGTTGAGGACCAGCCAATCAATAATCAAGTATTACGACAAAGAGGCGTGTAACCAGTAACCCACAAACCTTCACTAAAATAAGTCTTCTTCAGCAACTTGGCAGCATCTGGATGCAAAAGAATAAAGAGGATAATCAATAAGAGAGAGTCTTTTACAAAGTCAAATTCAAATTGAATACATATTTTCCACCCATCAATACCCCTACCCTCGATATTTGGGGTTTAATGGGGAGTATTTTCTTTCTTTTTACATATTTTCTATCAATAATGTTGAAATTCTCAGGATTAAACAGAAAAGGGAAAAGAAAGATAATGAAAGAACGCAAACAGGTGTGATAGAATTCAAGAACCAGCAAAAAAAAAAGTGATAGAAAACAGAAGAAAATGAAATAAAGGTTCAGAGAGAATGTTTGAGAATTTTATTATCTAAATAATGATGAAAAAGGAACTTTAAAAGAACCCTTTAGTTTATGTTATATTTATAATAGAGACCGAGATCTGATTCACCTAACAGATTCTAACTCATCTAACTACTTAACAGTTAGGTAGTTAGTTGACAGTTAAACTGACAGCTAGCTACTGAACATATATGAATTACTCGAACATCACAGCGAGCTATTCAACGTATATTACTCCGACATTTCCCCTTCAAACTTAGGGTGGGTGTATCAATGAAATGGTCAAAACCTTATGTTTGTCCCTTAATTCACAAAATCTGTGTGATGACAAGGCCTTGGTGACGAGATCTGCACACTGGTCGTAAGCTGGAATGTGGCAGACTGTGAGGCTTTTGTATATGAACTTTTCTCTCACAAAGAAAAGATCTAGTTCCATACGCTTTGTCTGAGAGTGAAGTACAGGCTTATCTGAGAGTGAAATTGTGCTAAGGTTATCACAATAAATGATAGATGTGAAAATCAGCACTTGTAATTCCCTGAGTAGAGTTTGTATCCAGAACAACTCTGCTATAGTGTTTTCCAAGCTTATATATTCAACCTCAGTTATGGATCTAGCCATCAAAAACTGCTTCTTGGACCACCAAGATTAGGTTAGGGCCAAAATAAATGCAAGAGCCTGTAGTAAACCCCTTGTCATCAGGATCCAAGGCCACACCAACACCATGGTAGATTGAAACAACACCAGTTGTAAAAGAGAGCTAACTCAGCAAAATGGTTAGTTAGTAGAGAATATTCTAGAAGTGGGTATGGATAATAAATAGAGAGGAAAGAAATGGAGAAGGCAGGCAATTACTTGGGAATGGGCTAGGAACTTGGGAGAGAAGGGATGAATCTCGAATTGCATCGATTATCTGTAAATTCTTTCAGTCATTTACCTTTTCTGCACTTTGTAATCTTCCTATTTTAGTAGCTACTGTCATTACTGTTTGTAATTTTCCTTTATACTTTCGATATACAAAATCCGGTTAATCCAGGAAATTCCTTTGAATCCCTTTTATTTTCTGTTTTTAAGTCGAAGATCCTATCAATTGGTATTAGAGCTCCTAATCCAGGAGCGCTGAAACCAAGAAAAAAAATGGAAAACAAATTTAGAGATTGGAAGAAAAGAGAGAATCAAGTGGAAAATAGATTTGAAGAATGGAAAAAAAGAGAAAGGAAAGTTGAAGAAAATCATAAGGAGAAACTCAGGCTCCTTGATAAACTTCTTTAGAAGACCAAGAATCACTCTAACAAAAAACGAACGAACAGAAGGCGAGATGGAATGCAAGTTTCACAACCAGAAATGGAAACCAAGAGAGATCTTGTGATGGAGAACTAAGAAAAGAATGGAAACCAGCCACGAAATCATGTGGGGCACGAGCAGAAGAAACCGAGAAGCATAGGGGAAAGTCCATGGATGCGAAGGTTGCACAAGCTTTTGAGACACCATAGCCACCAGTGATGGTGGCCAACCCATCACCATTACCCAAGTCACCATACTTAAATCTTCTTGAGAAGGAAGAGAGAATAAACAATAAAGTGGGTAAGAGGTAGGGAATAGCTGTGAAATGGGTAAAAGAGAAAATTAGGTTAGTAAGGAGAGGACATGAAATGGGCCACTTTAATGAATTGACGGGTCCGGCCCAACTTGGTTGCAAATGCCACCAAACCCAAACCCATATGATTTATTTTTTGAGCGATGAATGGGCATATAATCCCATTTCTTTATGTAACCGAACCAGACCCAACAACAAAGCCAAATTCGAAACTGAACAACACCCAAGCCCAAAAACTAATACTGCATCCTACCATTACACCAAAACATAGACGAGCTGGGGAGAGTCGTCAACAGCTACGATGTCCATGATGACACCTAGGTTTTAGTCGATGAGCTTGGCCGAGTTTCCTGGACACTTGAACCTGAAGTGCAGTCGAAGAAGCTCAAATGCATCATGAACGATGTCAACACAAATTGTGAGTTCACCACCTTCTGTCATTCAAAATCGTCAAACATTCACAAGGAAGAAAGGCATAGGAGATGGCAACCAAAAATAACGAAAAAAGCTAAGTTAGAACCAGAGTTGGGCCAATTTGTTGGTGATGCTGGAAGTTTAGAGCAAATGACCAAAACCCAGATTGTTGGCACTATAATTCAAGCACCTCAATTTCATAAAAACACTATGGTTGCTGACGGTGGTTCACGGTTGAAGCTCCAATTTGATGGTTTTCAAGCAAGACCAAATTAAGTTGTAGTGCACCCAGGTCTTGTTTGTTATTTGAAAGTGAGTATTAGTTCTAGCAAAGAAGCAACAATTTTTTATTTTGGTAGGGACTTTAATATTGCAAAAGAATTTATATTCAAGGAGGGTTGAGACAGATGTCTGAGTAGCTGCGGTTGGCTGTGGGGAAGATATTTGGGCAGATGATGAAAAGATACTTGCGCAAATTCAGACTGCTTTAGAAGAAGATGGAACAACTACTGACGAGCAATGGGATCCTGGTGGGAACTATAATGCTTCTTACACAAGTGGGTCCCTATATTACAAGTAATGGGATCTTGGACGATGATTATGGTGAGTAGGCTTTCACCTTGAGGACAAGGTGAAACTTTGAAGGGGGAGGTATTGATACGATACTCGTTGTAAAAGAGTATGTAGGAAGCATTATAGGAGATTTCCACCCGCAAAATGGTTAGTTAGTAGAGAATATTCTAGAAGTGGATATGGATAACAAATAGAGAGAAAAGAAATGGAGAAGGCAGGCAATTACTTGGGACTGGGCTAGGAACTTGGGAGAAAAGGGATGCCTCTCGAACTGCATCCATTATCTGTAATTTCGTTCAATCATTTACCTTTTCTGCATTTTGTAATCTTCCTATTTTAGCACTGCCATTACTTTTTGTAATTTTCCTTTACGCTTTCAATATACAAAATCTGGTTAATCTAGGAAATTCCTTTGTATCCCTTTTATTTTCTGTTTCTGTGTCGAAGACCTTATCATAGACCTAAAGACTGATGCACTTACAGTTGGCCCATTGTACATGGCCCAACCATTGATTCAAGAAGCTCGTAGTCGACTAGAGTTGTGGCACAATAAGTATGACCCAATTGTTGAAAAAGGCTATGATTTGAAATATAACAAATTACAATTGAATCCAAGTCCCAATAAAGCAGCAAATGTGATTGTTATTTGTTTGGGAAGAAAAGAAAAGCAACACATTTGGCGTGATTTGAGATTAAAGATTTGGAACGTATTTTGAATGATTTAATTGTAATTATTTATTTATTTTTACAATCTAATTACTATTATATTTATTTTAGGAAGTTTTCTTAATTCTAGGATTTTAAATTTTTGAATTTTGAATCAATTTGTAATTAGTCTATAAAAGGGTGCTTATAACCCTTATTCTAGGAGTTGAATTTTGATATTTTGTTAATAGAAATTGAGAACCGGAGTGGTACTCTTTTATCGTATCCCAACTTTCTGTTTAGCCACTTTTCTATGCGTTTTCGGCATCATTTGGTATCAGAGCACTGGGTTGCCTTCAACCAATGGCTGAACAAAATCGCGGAGGTCGACGACGGCGAAGTCACGAGGGTAGGGAAGGTGGAATCGTTCCTGAAGAATATAGACAACTGCGTCAGATAGACCCGCGAGATATAGAAAATAAAGAGCTCGGAAGGCGGATCCAGGATTTGAAGCACCAACTTGAGCAAGCGTTGGATAAGAAAATCCAAGTTTTGGAGAGACTACTTGTGCGGGCGCAGAGAAAGAGAATTAAATATTTGCAGCGACTACTAGTGCGAGTATGCATGAAAATCCAAATTTTGAAGCGAACTCTTGTGGAGGCGCAAAGCATGAAAATCCAATATTTGGAGCGTCGACTTGCATGGACAAAGTTGGCATTCAATCCGAAGAAAGAATGGAATTAAAGGACGAATCTGATGACGAAGAGGAGGACGTCAATCCCTTGGGGATTATAAACCAGGGACAGAATTGGGAAGTACGACCTGAAAATCAGTCCATTTTTCAAGATATCGAGATGCAAATCAGCATTCCTGATTTTGAAGTCTATGATCATAATTCAGTTTATGATGATTATCCGGTCTATGATAATAATCCAATTTATTAATTATCTCATTTATAATGATTATCCATCTTATGATGAAGATTCAGTTTATGATGATAATCCAGTCTATAATAAATCTGATGGAGAATCAAATTATGAAGATCTAATAGAGGAAGATTTATCATTTGAGTTTTTGTCTAAAGAAATTGAGATCAATGAAGATAAACAAGATGTGAAGACGAATCTTTTCCTAGTAGGGGAGAATGATGCACTTACAGTTGGCCCATTGTACATGGCCCAACCATTGATTAAAAAAGCTAGTCGACTAGAGTTGTGGCCCAATAAGTATGACCCAATTGTTCAAAAAGGCAATGATTTGAAATATAACAAATTACAATTGAATCCAAGTCCCAATAAAGCAGCAGATGTGATTGTGATTTGTTTGGGAAGAAAAGGAAAGCAACACATTTAACGTGATTTGAGATTAAAGATTTGGGATGTATTTTAAATGATTTAATTGTAATTATTTATTTATTTTTAGAATCTAATTACTGCTATATTTATTTTAGGAAGTTTTCTTATTTTTAGGATTTTAAATTTTTGAATTTTAAATCAATTTGTAATTAGTCTATAAAAGGGTGCCTATGACCCTTATTCTAGGAGTTGAATTTTGATATTTTGTTAATAGAAATTGAGAACCGGAGGATTACTTTTTTATCGTATCCCAACTTTTTGTTTAGTCACTTTTCTATGCGCTTTCGGCATCAGAGACTTAAAGGCTGAAGTGGATTGGTAGGTTGCAGTAGTAATCCATAATGAATGGTACCTTTGAGATGTTTAAGATTCATTTAACAACCTCCCAATGTTCGGGCTGGAAGAGAAACTGAGACCTTATTCACACTGTATGCAATTTGTGATCTTGTCAATGTAGCATATTGTAAAGTGCCAACCACTGATATGCATAGTTGTGGGTCAGACACGTAGTCATTTTACATTCTCCAACCATAGAAGTAGAAATTCCTTTTGCCTCGGTCATTTGGGCTTTAAAGAGTAGATCTCTACTTTATTTGCTTAGCATTAGGTAGATGTTTCAATACCCAAAAAGTAGTCATGAGTACCCAGTTGTTTGAGGGCAAAGATTGAGATGAGTTTAGTGACAAGATTTTGATTCAACACCTGCGAGGTCCAAGTGACAATGATTTCTTCTACACAGACTGAAACATAGAGGTAGTGATGTAAGGTGTTGTGAAGAAATAAGGAAGGGTCACATTTGCTGGATTTGAACCCATAGCTGAGTAAAGTGGCACCAAAATTCTCAAACCAGGCCCAGTCCACGAGCAGCGAACCACAAACAAGACAAGAAAGTGAGAACACGAGTAAGTGTATCCATAAGATACAGGTTTCATGCTAAGAGGGAAACCACAAGACACAATGCATTAACAGAACCCAGAGGACAGGATAGAATGCAGTCACTTAGTCATGTGACATATAATACCGACAAAGGCAACTTTTTTGTACTTATATGTCATTCAAATTGATGAACAGAATTAAAGAATAAATAGTAGTACTAAGTAAGGCGCACAAAATTATTGAATCATGAGGAAAACATAAAATTAGAATATATACCCATTGTTCACAAACCTTTAGCTTACCATTTCGAACAATGAGAGCACCAAGTCCAGTTGGATAGCCAAACAGCTAACAAAAATGCACAAGACACAACATCAATTTTCAAAGTATTCTTTGATAAAAAAAAGAAAAAGAAACATACCCTTATACCTTGTAAAATGAAATTGCGACAAAATCTGCAGGATACTTAGATAGATCAGGTGGCATGGTAGCAGATCCCTTTGCAGCATCAATCAAGACCATCCATTGTCCATTTCTTACGTAAAAGAAAAACAATGAAGAATCAAGTATGCAATCATTGATGCTTCAAAGAAGTTACACACATAAGGAGTCAATAAGACAAATAATGCTGTATATTACTTGCAAGCTGAAGAAATTCCTAAAATCCTGCTCGAATCTTCCTTGATCATCTGCACCAAGTCGAGGCCAAATCTCATCCTTGAGAAATTGCACTCGGAGGGAAAGGCAAACTGTAGAATATTCTAGATTATCATTTATTACTTCCTTGCTATTTGTTCCCTTGTTTATTAATGTCTCTTGTTATTGTAAATAAGCCTCTTAGTTTACTGTTGCTATTTATTAGCATTGTTCTTTGTACTCAATATAAATAGGACCTATTGGGTCTTTCAATGTAATCAATCAATAGTGTTATACAGAAAAACACTTTTTCTTTTCATCATGGTATCAAGAGCTGGTTCAAATCCAGTCTCTTCCCTGTTCTGACTTCCCTTCCATTCTTTTTTTCGTTTTTTGCCTCTGTCAAGGCCAGAACCCTCACCTAGACACCTCCAACCACAAAACCAAGGCCACCATTAGGTCCAGAACAAAATTCCGAGCCAGCCAACACAAGACCCGTAGCCGGAGACCCAGCCACGCGCCGCCACGCGCCACCAACATCCTTCAGCTTCGCCGGCGCGTGTGGTCCACGCGCCGCCCTCCCATCATTTTTTTCCGGCGGGTCATACCCCGTTCTAATCGTCTGGCTTCCCTCTTCCTGTTTTGAGGGTCAAAATCATATTTGGAGGAATTTTGTTTTCTGGGTATTGTTGTTAGGAAGCCATGGACACTGAAACTGTTGAAAATTCATCTGGTGTTTCGACAGGAACCTCACCCCTTCCCATTTCTTCGTCTTCTGGAGACAACCCAGCAATGCAGATCACCAATCACCGTTTAAACGGTAGAAACTATGTGCAATGGTGTCAATCTGTTAAGTTGTTTATCCAGGCCAAAGGGAAGATGGGGTATCTGGATGGAAAAAAGGTTCAACCAGCAGAACATGAACCTGGCTATGATGCTTGGGTGACTGAAAATGCTTTGGTCATGACATGGCTGACTAATTCTATGGAACCGGATATCAGTCAAACTTATTTATTCCTTGATACGGCTCAAGAAATTTGGGAAGCTGTTAAAGAATACTACTCTGACCTGGGCAATGCCTCTCAGGCTTTTGAACTCAACACCAAGGTGAAAGATTTACGCCAAGGAGGGATGACTGTTACTGAATACTTCCTTGCTCTAAAAACATTGTGGCAAGAGTTGGATCTTTATGATAAAGCAGACCTTCAAGGTTTAGACGCTAATGCAATATTCAAAAATTATATAGAGAAAAGGCGTCTCTATGATTTTCTTGCTGGCCTTAATTCTGATCTGGATGATGTTCGTGGAAGAATTTTGGGGCAAAACCCATTACCTTCCATTGCCACTGCCTTTTCTGAGGTACGAAGGGAGGAGCTTCACCGAAAGGTAATGTTGGGTGATAAGGACTCTAAGTCCTCTGATGGGTCAGCCCTTATAACAAAGAAAACTGCTCGTCCTTCTGGGGACTCAAAACGTTCTGACCGTTGGTGTTCTCATTGCAATAAGGGTGGTCACACCCGTGAAAAATGTTGGGAACTTCATGGCAAACCACCAAACTGGAAACCAAAAGGACAGAACAAGAATCGTGCTAATCAAGTATCTTCTGAAGATAAGGGGGAGGGGTCTCATGTCCCTTCAAACCCCGATGGTGTTCTCCTCTCTAAGGCCCAGTATGAGCAATTTCAGAAATTGATGTCTCAACCTGCTGAGGCAACTAGTCATGTTGCTCAAAAAAGGTATGGCATTCCATGTTGAACGTAGTAATCGTTGGATCCTTGATTCAGGAGCCTCTGATCACATGACAGGTAATGCAACCTTATTTTCCTCCTATACCCCTTACTATCACCCGTCACGAATAAGAACAGCTGATGGAAATTTCTCCACTATTGCGGGCAAGGGATCCATTAAACTTTCTGAACATATTATTTTGAACTCAGTCCTTCATGTTCCCTCCCTTACTTGTAACCTCATCTCTATTAGCAAATTTACTGCTGAGTTGCATTGTGTTGCTAAGTTTTCTGCAAATGCTTGTATCTTTCAGGAGCAGGACTCGGGGATGATGATTGGCAGTGCTAGAGAGGAAGAAGGGCTATACTATTTGGAGGAGGATCTTTGTGAAAGGAGGATTTTTTCAAACCACTCTCTATGTTTATCAGATGATTGTAATGATGTTTTGTTATGGCATCGTAGGTTAGGGCACCCAAATTTTGTTTATCTTCAGAAGTTATTCCCTAACTTATTTATCAATAAAAAGCCAAGTTCCTTTCTTTGTGATATTTGTCAGCTTGCAAAACATTCTCGTGTCACTTATTCTCCTAAGAAATATCATGAATCTTCTCCCTTTACATTGATTCATAGTGATATTTGGGGACCTGCTCGTGAAAAAAATGTCTCGGGTGCTCGTTGGTTTATTACTTTCATTGATGATCATTCTAGGGTATGTTGGGTATATCTCTTAAAAGATAAGTCTGATGCGGCATCCACTTTTAAAAATTTTCATGCTATGATTCAAACTCAATTCCAGACTCCTATCAAAATTCTGCGAACAGACAATGGCACTGAATATTTTAATTATGTTCTTGGAGATTACCTAAACCAGCATGGAATTATTCATCAAAGTTCTTGTCCTAACACCCCTCAACAAAATGGGGTGGCTGAAAGGAAAAATAGACATCTAATTGAAGTTGCTCGAGCTCTCTTATTCACGATGCATGTCCCTAAATATCTGTGGGGGGAAGCCATCTTGACAGCTTCTTATCTCATTAATCGAATGCCTTCTCGGGTACTAAATTTTCATTCTCCTTTATCCTGCCTTACTAAATCTTTTTCTTCTTTCTGTGCTCTTTCTCTTCCTCCAAAAATATTTGGCTGTGTGGTCTTTGTACATATTCCTCCACATCAAAGGTCCAAACTTGACCCTAAATCTATTAGATGTGTCTTCATAGGATATTCCCCTAATCAAAAAGGCTATAAGTGTTACTCACCTTCTCTCCGTAAGGTCATTGTTTCCATGGATGTTACCTTTTATGAGACACGATCCTTTTTTCCCCCGACTTCTCTTCAGGGGGAGTCTACTGGTATGGATGAAGATAAGCCTGGGAAACCAAATGAAGCTGCTGTCTTACGGCCTTTGGAAACAGGGGGAGTTATTGGGAAGGAAACAGGGGGAGCAACTATACCTGAGTCTAATGATCCTCCCAGTCCTTGTGATCCTCCTGGTAAATGGGGAAAATTCTACAGCAGGCGCAAAACATATCAAGAGACTCTAGACTGCCAGGATCCTAACTCGAGTCCTTGCTCTAGCAACCCACTTGAATGCACTAGCACAGCCAACATTGATATGCCCATCGCCCTTCGGAAAGGTACTAGATCTTGCACTGCTCATCCTATTTCCCATTATATCTCATATGAGAAGTTATCTCCAGGTTTTCGTGCTTTCAACACTATGTTAGATAGTACCAGGATACCCAAAAATATCCAAGAAGCACTTGATGACCCAAAATGGAGGAACGCCGTATTAGAAGAAATGGATGCACTTATAAAAAATGGAACATGGGAGTTTGTGACATTACCTAAAGGAAAGAAAACTGTTGGTTGCAAGTGGGTGTTCACAATAAAATTTAATGCAGATAACAGCATCAACAGGTATAAGGCCAGATTAGTTGCTAAGGGATTTACTCAGACTCATGGGATTGATTATCAGGAGACATTTGCTCCTGTTGCCAAGCTTAACACTATCCGCGTTTTGCTATCTCTTGCCGCCAACCTTGATTGGCCATTGCAACAGTTAGATGTCAAGAATGCCTTCTTGAATGGTGATCTACATGAGGAAGTTTACATGGATCCACCTCCTGGTTTTGAAAAAGGGGATGGTTCTGTGTGCAAGTTGCAGAAGTCTCTCTATGGACTTAAACAATCTCCCAGAGAATGGTTTGGGAAATTTACTCAAGCTGTTAAGGGAAGAGGGTTCACCCAAGCTCAGACTGATCACACTTTATTCTTTAAACACTCTGACAAAGGTAGAATTGCTATCCTCATTGTTTATGTTGATGACATAATTGTCACTGGTAATGATACCGAGGAGATAGCCTCTTTAAAAAAATGTTTAGCTGATCAGTTTGAACTAAAAGATCTTGGATCTCTCAAATACTTCCTTGGCATTGAAGTTGCTCGAAGTAAGGAAGGAATTTCCTTAACTCAGAAAAAATACATTCTAGACCTGTTGCAAGAAACAGGTATGCTTGGGTGCAAGCCAGCAGAGACTCCAATTGAAGCTAATATCAAGATGGGAGTTGAGGACGGGGAGGATGTTGATAAGGAGCAGTACCAGAGACTAGTGGGGAAATTAATCTATTTGTCTCACACTCGTCCTGATATTGCTTTTGCTGTGAGCATGGTTAGCCAATTCATGCATTCTCCTAAGGAAAAACACCTTAGTGCTGTTTATAGAATTCTCAAGTACCTCAAAAACACCCCTGGTCGAGGAATTCTCTTTAAAAAGGGGAACAAAAGGATGGTTGAAGTTTATACAGATGCAGACTGGGCTGGCTCTGCAATGGACCGAAGATCTACTTCAGGATATTGTACTTATGTCTGGGGAAACCTTGTGACCTGGAGAAGTAAGTAAACAAACTGTTGTTGCAAGAAGCAGTGCAGAAGCGGAATTTCGGGCTTTAGCCCATGGTATTTGTGAAGGAATTTGGTTAAGAAGGCTTCTGGAAGAGTTGAAGATCTCTTATTCCCTACCTATCAGATTATATTGTGATAATAAAGCTGCTATCAGCATTGCTCAAAATCCTGTCCATCATGACAGAACAAAACATGTGGAAGTCGATCGTCACTTTATCAAAGAAAAATTAGAAGACGGTAGTGTATGCTTGTCATATATACCTACCAAGGAACAAACGGCAGATATTCTCACCAAAGGTTTACTTAAGCCGACCTTTGAGGATTTGATCAGCAAGTTGGGAATGATCAATATATATCTCCCAACTTGAGGGGGAGTGTAGAATATTCTAGATTATCATTTATTACTTCCTTGCTATTTGTTCCCTTATTTATTAATGTCTCTTGTTATTGTAAATAAGCCTCTTAGTTTACTGTTGCTATTTATTAGCATTGTTCTTTGTACTCAATATAAATAGGACCTATTGGGTCTCTCAATGTAATCAATCAATAGTGTTATACAGAAAAACACTTTTTCTTTTCATCACAAACAAATTATACACATCACCTGTATTGAACAAACAGATATAAGATAAGTTGTCTAAAAGCCCAGAAACATATACTTGAGCTTAAGTGTTACCTGTTGGCTCTCTCTCAAACAATCTAGCTACTTTTCTCCTTTGCACTTGGTGCAGTGATATCTTCGTAGAAATTGTTTCTCTAGTTATTCCAGGATGTACATCTTCTTCAATATCTACTGCAATGGCCGCAGCTCCTTGACCAAGAGCATATCTAATACTAGTTAAGGTGGTACACAGACTAGAGTTATTAATCATCTAATATAGTATAATGGAAAAATTAATAACAAAGTAATATTTATCAGGAAGCAACAGCAATATTTTACTAAAGTAAAATTATTCCAAAAGAGAGGATTATACTCATTTATCAGAATCAGAGAAGACAAGGCATTCCCTTAATCCAAACACAAGAAAGTAAAAGTAAATCACTGTAACAAAAATATAGTTCAGTCCTCAAGTCCGGCTGAACAGAAAAATTGTTTAAAATATAGTTGTTATGCTGCACTTTCATGAAGTGAGCCAAAGGGAATTATTATAAAATTGAATAACTTCTCATTTTTTTATCAGGTAGGATACTCTCTTATTCCAAGAACACTATTATGGTTCTCCATTGTATATGTTAGAATATTAGATATGATATGATTAGATATGATTAGATATGATTGGATTCCGTCTTATCCGTAAATATTCTGACTGTATTCTGACTGTATTAGGATTAGGTTTGGGCCTTTCACTTAAGCCCATTAGGGTCTCTATATATTGTAACTCTCTGACACAGATCAATACACAACATATTATTCTTCTATTATTTTATATTCAAGTTGGTATCAGAGCTCTTTCGTTTTGGGAACCCTCGCTTCCGCTTAGAAACCTTATTTTTTGCTTTAAAACCTAAGCCCACTGCTTAGGAGTCCTCTTTCTTGCCGTGCGTCCTTCCGGCAAGCCTTCTAGGGCTGTAAACAGCCTCTGAGTGATTTTTCCAAACGCGTCAGCACCTCCGACGGCCACCGGAACCACCGCCCGCCGTCAGAATCACTGTTCAGGCAACCAGAGACTTTTTTCGGCGACTTTTCCGTCCAAACTTCACGCGATCAGGACCCTCTCTTCCCGGCGACCAGGTCTGTGGTGGTCCGGTCAGCAACGCATCTCCCACGCGCCGTCACGCGCCACCTGTCTTCTTTGCGCGTGGGCTTCACGCGCCACCTTTTGCCGGCGCGTGAGCACTATTCCGGCGGCTTTTTCCGGCCGGTCTTGGACATAGAAGCTCGCCTTCTCCTCCCCTTTCTGGATCTGTGATTGTTTCTCTGTGGGTCTGACCTTAGACGCGTGGTTCTTCTTGATTGGATATCGTTTGCCTTCGTTTACGGCTTTTATATTTTATCTTTAAATGGCAGCAGCATCTCCTGATCTCTCGGAGGTTAACTCTCCTTCTATTGTTGCAAATATAGCTCAGTCAGACAATGCATCATTTGGTTCAGGTTCGGACTATGCTGCACTCCAAACCCCTCTCAGGAAGGCCTCTCCTCAGTCTCAGCCTTATACTGGTAATCCTCTTGCTTGTGTTTCTCATTCTACATCACTTGGCACTTGGATATTTGACTCCGGTGCTACCGATCATCTCTGTGGTAATAAGGAACTCTTTACATCTCTTACTTATTCTGATCATTTACCGTCTTTTACCCTTCCGGATGGAACCAAAGCCCCAGTTCGTGGGATTGGACAAGCTCGTCCGACCTCTACCTTGGCCCTGACATCTATCTATTACATTCCTGGCATCCCTTATAACATAATTTCTATTAGTAAGTTGATCCACTCCCTCACTTGCACCATTACTTTCTCTAATCATTCTGTTTCTGTGCAGGATCCGGGTACGGGGAAAATGATTGGAGTGGGTCGTGAGTCACGAGGGCTTTATTATCTGGATGTGCCTCGTCCTTCAGTAGCATGCTCTCTCACAGAATCTCCACAACTTATTCACAGTCGCCTTGGTCATCCAAGTCTTTCAAAGTTGCAGAAAATGGTTCCTCTTTTGTCCGGTCTTCAGTCTTTAGATTGTGTGTCATGTCAACAAGGGAAGCATACACGCTCCTCTTTTGCCAGTCGAGTCAATAAACGAGCTGATGCCCCTTTCTCTCTTGTTCATTCAGATATCTGGGGTCCAAGTCGTACCTTGTCTGTCTTAGGTTTTCGGTATTTCGTTACCTTTACTGATGATTTTTCCTGTTGCACTTGGACCTATTTAATGAAAAATCGTTCCGAGCTATTTTCCATTTATAAAAAGTTTTCTACTGAGATCCATACTCAATTTGGTGTTTCTATTCGTATTCTACGTAGTGATAATGCTAAGGAATATGTTTCTATTGATTTTTCTAATTTCTTGGCCACACAAGGTACTTTACATCAAACTACTTGTCCTCACACTCCACAACAAAATGGGGTGGCTGAACGTAAAAACAGACATCTCATTGAAACTGCCCGTACCCTTCTTATTCATATGCAGGTTCCCCTTCACTTCTGCGCAGATGCTGTACTCATCTCTTGTTTTCTCATCAATCGCATGCCTTCATCTGTGCTCCACAATGACATTCCTCATAATCTATTGCTTCCAGATGTTCCTCTTTATCCTCTAACTCCACATGTCTTTGGTTGTACTTGTTTTGTTCATGATCTCACTCCTGGTAAGGATAAGTTAACATCCAAAGCCTTTCAGTGTATCTTTCTTGGTTATTCTCGTCTTCAAAAGGGTTATCGTTGTTATTCTCCCGACCTTAAGCGTTGCTTAGTTTTCGTTGATGTCACTTTTCTTGATCAACAACCCTTTAATTCTATCCCATCTCAGATGTCACAGGTTGATCATGTACTTCCTGTCCCTTTTCTTGACTTGTCTTTGCCAGCTGCAGGTGCTTCTATTCCAGATGAGCAACTTATTGCTTCTATACCTGAGGACCGTCCACTTCTCACCTATCAGCGTCGCAAAACTGTGCCTCCTGTCGACTCGACTCTTGCTGACTCATCGCCCACTGTTGTTGCTTCTTCCCCTCCGGATCCTTCATCAGAGACTCTTCCCATTGCTCAAAGAAAAGGTACACGTACTACTCGTAACCCTTATCCTCTTTATACCTTTTTGAGTTATGACCGTCTTTCTTCACCTCATTTCACCTTTGTTTCTAGTCTTTCTTCTATTTCTATTCCTAAGACCACAGGTGAAGCACTTTCCCATCCAGGGTGGCGCCAAGCAATGCTTGATGAGATGACTGCACTTCATTCCAATGGCACTTGGGACCTTGTTTCTGCTCCTCCAGAGAAGTCTATAGTTGGTTGTCGATGGGTTTTTATTGTGAAAGTTGGACCTGATGGTCATATTGATCGTCTCAAGGCACGCGTTGCCAAGGGTTTTACTCAAATCTTTGGCCTTGATTATAGCGATACATTTTCTCCGGTCGCTAAGATGGCGTCATTCCGCCTCTTTCTTGCCCTTGCTGCTGTTCGTCACTGGCCACTCCTTCAACTTGACATCAAAAATGCCTTTCTTCATGGTGATTTACAAGAAGAAGTTTACATGGAGCAACCACCTGGTTTTGTTGCTCAGGGGGAGTCTGGAAAGGTGTGTCGTCTTCGGAAATCCTTATATGGTCTCAAGCAGTCTCCTCGAGCATAGTTCAGTCGCTTCAGTTCTGCTGTTCAGGCGTTTGGCTTAATCCGCAGTAAAGTTTACCATTCTGTGTTTTATAGGATTACATCTCCTGATAAGTGTATCTATTTGTTAGTCTATGTTGACGACATCATTCTCACCGGAAGTGATCAAGACGGAATTCGTCATTTAAAACAGCATTTGTTTAGTACATTTCAAACAAAGGACCTTGGGAAGCTGCGTTACTTCTTGAATTGAGGTGGCGCAATCCAGACAGGGCATTTCTATCTGTCAAAGGAAATATGCCCTGGATATCCTAGAAGAAACTGGTATGTTGAGGAGTAAACCAGTTGATACACCTATGGATCCTAATGTCAAGTTATTGCCCGGACAGGGGGAGCCGTTATCTGATCCTGGACGTTATCGGAGGCTAATTGGGAAGCTCAACTATCTTACTGTGACTAGGCCAGATATTTCTTTCGTTGTTAGTACGGCTAGTCAGTTTCTTGATTTCCCTTGTGATTCACATTGGGATGCTGCTGTGAGGATCCTCCGATACATCAAAGGAGCACCAGGAAAAGGTTTGTTGTATTCAGATCAGGGAAATACAGAAATTTGTGGTTATTCAGATGCTGATTGGGCAGGATCACCCTCGGACAGGCGCTCTACTTCTGGCTATTGTGTCTTCTTTGGAGGAAACTAAATTTCGTGGAAGAGCAAGAAACAACCTGTTGTTGCTCGATCTAGTGCAGAAGCTGAGTATCGTGCAATGGCAAATGCTACCTGTGAGTTAGTCTGGTTAAAGCAGTTGATTCAGGAGCTTCATCTTTGTGAACAGAAACAACCCATGACACTCATCTGTGATAATCAAGCTGCGCTACATATATCCTCTAATCCTGTCTTTCATTAGAGGACCAAACATATAGAGATTGATTGTCACTTCATTCGAGAAAAGATTCAGTCAGGAGAAATCAAGACTGCTTTCGGCAACTCCTCTGATCAACTAGCGGATGTTTTCACTAAAGCTCTTAGAGGTCCTCGGGTTGAATACATTTGTAACAAGCTTGGTGCTCATAATATATACGCACCAGCTTGAGGGGGAGTGTTAGAATATTATATATGATATGATTAGATATGATTAGATATGATTGGATTCCGTCTTATCCGTAAATATTCTGACTGTATTAGGATTGGGTTTGGGCCTTTCACTTAAGCCCATTAGGGTCTCTATATATTGTAACTCTCTGACACAGATCAATACACAACATATTATTCTTCTATTATTTTATATTCAAGTGTATACATAAAATTACTGTTACAACTCCATGGAAAAGCCTCTCCAACTAGCTTCAGTGCTGCTGTTGCCCCAGAGGTAAATATACATTTATAGTCTTTGGGAGATCATTGCAATAGTCAAGGACCTGTATGACTGATAGTTCAATATCTGAGCAAAATGTAGAATTTTCTAGAACAAATGTATATAAGTACAAAAGATGAATAACAATAGCAATTTTCTAGTGGGCAATTCCTAGTTGGACACGTCTAATTGGGGACCCAGCATGGCCCACCCAAGTCACCAAAATCAAGATAAGGTAAACCCCTAGCAAAGCATGGTGTTTAGTAAAAGAGATGACATGTAGACATCCATTGAACTTTAGTACTCCTTCCTTAACAAGCGTAGAGATAGAATCTAAATGTTCACAGCAAGTTTAGTCTAGATAAAGATCTCTCCTATGTGGTAAAGCCACTCCCGTGTGACTCAAAGGTAACACGGTTTGAATCCAAAAGATAATCTCTTTGCAAAAGTACAAGAATATGACTGCGTATAAGAATTCATATCAACCCTACTCTTGACAAGTCAGGGTTTCATAGGGAGTGCTTTTTAAAGATCTATCAACACAGAATCTAATCTCAATTTATCATTATTTAAGTACAAAGAAGACATTTGACATGTTTAAATAATTACATATTTACATGTACCTGCTGACGGGCATCCTTCATAATCTCAAGAGTTGCAGAACTGGAGTCACTTTGGCTATCTAGTATTAAGATTAAGGAATTCCACTTCATAAAATCAGTGTCAACCAGCAATTACAGAAATTCACTTTGCATCCAGTACTAAGAATTTTTCTTTCTCTTCCTTCTTGTACAGAAATCTTAAAGTAGCAAACTACAGAAATGTAATAATTCTCAATCATATTAGGATACGAGGATTTCCATATACATTACTAGTGAGATCACTGAAAACTTCCATTTGCAACACAGAGTATAAAGTTGCACCAGCATGATCCAAGTATACAACATCTATAATTCCAAATTGCAACACGGGTACATGCAAGAAAACCCAAAACAAAAATTAAAAAATAAAAAATAAAAATTACCCACTCACAATCGCACAGTTGAAACAAACAGAAACAACAGTTTTATTTTATCAATAACTAAAAAAGGAAGCAAAAAAAAAAAAAAAAAAAAAAAACCCTTCTAAATCGAAGCATGTATATAAAAAAAGATGAAGCATGTATATAAAAAAAAAGATAAATCAATATTTACCATTTTCCTAACTTACTATGACTATGATATATATAAAAAAAGATGAAGCATGTATGAGTATAACCTTTTAATCTGTTGAATTCAGTAGCTCGAATTTGATCAATGGTTTTGGGACCGTTGGGATAGCCGTAATGTTCACCGAACTCTTTGAGAAACTCGTCTTTGGCAGCGTCCATGTTGAAGAGAAGATTCTAGTGTGTACGGAAAGATGAACCAATAGTGAGTTCAAGAGGCAACTAAAGTGCATCACAATTGCTGCTCATATAAAGTATAATAATTTATTAGGAACACTCAAATATATAAATATTTTTTATATTTTTCTATTGGTTGATTGTTTATTTGATTATTCTGGTCTGGTTAAAACATATATATGGTCATAAATTTTTTTTTTTACCAAATTTTTTAGAAAAAATATTTCTGCAGTTAATGGAGATAAGTTATCTGCATTTATTCCCAAAACGACGTCGTTTTGATATTGAAATCTTAAAAAATTATAAATATAAAGACTATTATAACCCTGAAATAAATTGAAATTACAAAAATACCATGATTTCCGCTCAAAACGACGTCGTATTAGGCTTACTGCAGATAACTTATCTGCAGTAACTGTAGAAAAAGTGAACCCAATTTTTAATGGGGTAGTATATTGTAATAATCAATTAGTGTTACTATCAATGTTAGTACCAATCAATTTCATCGTTAGATCGAGTATGTGAATCGAACGATTATATTTATTTCTATCTTTGTATAGTTATGATTTCTCATATTTAATGTAAAAGCATTAAATATGAGAAATCATAATCATACAAAGGTGAAAATAAATATAAAGTATTGAATATGAGAAATCATAATCATACAAAGATGGAAATAAGTATAACCGTTGGATCAACATAATCGATCTAACGATGAAATTGATTGGTAGTAACATTAACACTAATTGATTGTCACAATATTCTCCCCCATTTTTAATATACTCAAAATTCAAATTTGAGATTATTAATTAAGCTGAAACAACGATATTTGGCAGTGTTATTCACTTCAATGTACATAACAATAAAAAAATAAAATTAAATAAATTTATGAATCTTGAAGCTTATCATTGTTAAAGAATTTTAGTAATATTTACTAAAAAAGTGGATAAATTAAAAATATTGTACTTAATATTGCAAATATGAAATTTATAATCATAAAACTAAAAGAAACAAAACTTATTAGCCATTCATCAAAAATTAAAATGCACTACTACATTGAATTCATACATTTTATGATGGATATTAAAAAAAATTACTTTTGTATAATCTGTTAACTTGCAAAACATAAAGGAATGATATTTGATTCCGATCACACATGAATGAGACTGGTAAATTTGAGGGGATAGGATAAGATCTCTAATATGATGAACAAGTATTTCGGCGAGATGGTCTCATATAGGGATTTGGATCGGTTTTAGAAGTAAAAATCATCTGATCCAATTCTTTCGGTTTGATCATATAATCATCCATTCGGTTTGGATTTTTTTTCAAATCCGATCCGATCCGATCCAATTTTTTTCGGATTGGATTGGATTGATTTTCGGTATTTTGAAAAGCCTAAAATTTATTTCATGATTATTGTGCAAATAATATCTTTTGTATATATTGGCTTTGTAAATTTTTATTTTTTTAAATACAAAAGCATTAGTAAATTATAATATGGTTTTTTTTTGGGCAATGAGATATGAAGCTCTACAAAGATAAAATTTTGTTGATGAGATGTGACTAGTTTTTTTCTTGGGTTTAGTTGGTGGGTTAATGGGTCTTGGGTTTAAAATTTTTTGAGCTATGATTGGGGAAAGACCCAAGTAGGTAGAGGAGAATTAATATATTGGATCGGTTTTCATCAACCCATCCAAAAACCGATCCAATCCAATTAAAATTTGCGATTTTTTTTTGGTTTTCGGTTTTTCGATTTTCGGTTTATTCGGTTATCGGTTTTCAGTTCGATCACCGCGGTTTAAATCGGTTTGGATCGGTTGATGAACACCCCTAGTCTCGTACAAAATGAGATTCCATTTGAGGAGGAGAGAATTAGGGTAACAGAGATTTTTTCTATTATTCTTGGTCTCTTCTCTCAAGAAAGACATAATCTGCTATGAGTGTTTACTATGGTATTTATAGTGTAGTTGTCTCTTTGCTTGTGCCGACTTTGAAGGGTGATGTCTATTCTATTGGTGGGTTAAGGTGAGTTGGTGTTTGAAGTCTGTCAGGCTATGTCACAGGTAATGATGCCTCTTAGGTTGCGTCTTTGAGTGTCTTTGCAGCGAGTAGGAGTTATAGGATCTCGCAAGTGCCTATTGGTTCTGAGCAATTGATCTCAGGGGGCGTTTGGTACGTGGGCAAAAAAAAATTGCCCAGGAAATGAGGATAGCGAAAACCAGACGGCCACGTTTGGTAGGAGGATAACGAAAATGGAGTGTGGGAATTTTTTTTGTCAGTGATTAGTTTTTACACATGGGGTTGGTGAAAAATTTGACTCTCGATGGGATGGAATAGATTGTTTCCCTCGGGCTGGCAAATTCTTCACGATTTTGTAAGACAAAAATGCCCTCAAATTTCATACGTTTGAAAACGTCAGCTTAGCAACCCTAGGTTAGTAATTGGCATATGCGTTTTGCAGTGGAGACCGTTCACAATCGGTCTGATCTATCGTCTGCTTGATTGTTGATGGTGTGGGTTAAGGGGTTGGTAAAGGAAGCTCTCATATACCTGACCACCACCTGATTTTTTTGTTATTAGTTTATCATGACTTTTGTTCTCACTTCACAGGTTGAAGGAAGACGGCAAGCTGAGTAGCTGGTTCAGATGAGTGAAAGACATACCATTTTGCTTCTTTGAGGTACCATGTCTTTCTTGTGCTTATTATATGTGTCGGTCATGATCTGCTTTGTAGTTGCGCATGTTCAGTGCCTGAAAATGTCTGTAGCTACCGGTGGTGCTCATGTAGATGAAGATCCTTACATATTGCCCCTTTTTTGTTAACTTGTTGCATGTCCTTTAACATTCAAAGATGTGTACTCTTCTTTCTGCAATCCGAAAATTTTTTTTTGTAATATCCATATGGAGATCCTTATTAATTTTTTATTTTATTTTTTCCACTAGTTTATTACAAATCTGATATATTGATTTCGTATTTTAATATAAATTTTTTTATTTTTCCTTCATTATAAATAGCAAAAATTTGATAAATCGATTTCATATTTTCCACAAGGTAGTGCATTATTAAAAATCTGATATATTGATTTCATATTTTAAATTTTTAATTGTCCACTGGTTTATTTTTTTCATTTCATTATAAATAGCAAATATTTCTTTGCAGATTTTTTGGATATATACATGTGATGATTCTTCCATAAACATTGTTTGTATGTAGCATGTTTGTGTGTTAAAGTTAACTATATACATGTATTTGTTGATGTTTTAAAAAGGTAAATAAATATATACATTGAATGCTTAAGCATGTTGTTCTTGCATATCCTTGTTTCATTGTTTATGAAGGAAGGTTTTTGTCTTCATTGTATGACACACTTGGAAGGTAGGTAAGAGATACTGTCAAAACATCGACACTTGTAATATTAAGGCCATATATGCTTTTGTGAACCTATGTTACATTTTTGCATTTGTGTAAGTTTTTAAAGTGTTCCAATTTACAATTCAGAATTATATATGTATAATAATGCATCAAAACCACATATTCTGTGGAACAAAATGGGATTTTGGCTTTTCCATATTGAAGTATGTCTGGCAATTTTTTTTTAAACTGATGTCTATTTTGTTATATAGTTTTACGGATTATCATTTCTGCTTGGGTGGCACAAGACATAGCAAGGAATGGGCCATCAGTGTTGTCAGTTATGTTCAAATGTTTACGAGTATTGGTTATAATATAATCCTTAACATCTTGTGCTTTGTCTCATGCCTTTTGGTTGACACACTGACTTTGAGACGTATTCATAAAATTGCTATGGTTTTTCATGTGAGGAGTACACGTAGCATTGACAAAGTAATAACACCCATCTCAAGTGTGGGGTATTAAGCTGAAAAATATGGTTACGATTTAGGCAACTGGAATGAAAATGCTTTTAATTATTTATGGGATTTCGCTTAACTAAACCCAACGGGTTGTGTAAATAAAAATCTGTTATGAATTGGTAAAGGAAATAGTAACATAGTAATTTAGTAACATTATAACAGAAGACGAAGACTGTTCTTTGCTCTGTGTCTGTCATATTATTTCTTTGGGTCCCTTGCACTTACAATAGTGATATGAATAGGACGCAAAAAAATTGATGTTACTATTTGTAGCTTGCAGATACTGAAACTGCCACTGACAAAGATGAGTGAAATGGAGTGTTGTGTCATTGTGGTACTCATTGCTTATTTGGACAATTTGCATGAACTCACTACGATGTTTATTGCTATGTGTGCTTTGTTATTAGTTGATCTCGAAAGAAGGAGAAATGCTAAGAGGAGAGTTAAATGGAATTGTTATAGAAGGTCGACGTTAAGGACTATCAATTTCCATATAATAGTTTACATGAGTGATACAACTTGTATTGAGAATACAAGGATGAACATGGGGTATTTTTTTAAATTGTGTGAATTGTTGAAAGGTGTTGGGGGGCTTCATCCAACGAAGCACATAGGTGTGGAAGAACTCGTCGCAATATTTTTGCACATTTTGGCTCATGATGTGAAGAATAGGATAATTAAAAGACAATTCATGAGGTCTGGTGAAACAATCAGTAGACAGTTTGCGAAGGTATTATTGGCTGTGTTACGATGTCATACAGTTTTTTTAAAACGACTAGAGCCAGTGCCTGCAAATTCAAGTGATGAGAGGTGGAAATGGTTCAAGGTAACATAGTAGTGCAGATAATGTTATATTTAGTGGTTTAGCAAACATAAACATTCCAGCACAACCATGTCTCTTGATTACTATGTTTGTGTTTTTGAATTATATAATTGTCTAGGAGCGTTGGATGGGACACACGTCAAGGTTAATCCCCTGCAAGCTGATAAGCCTAGATATCGTACTAGGAAAGGTGAAATAGCAACAAATGTGTTAGGAGTCTGTTCGCAAGATTGTCAATTTATTTATGTACTGTCTGGATGGGAGGGATCAACTGCAGATTCAAGGG